TGGGTCTCCTTACTTTTTTTTTAAACATTTCTTCTCCTTCCAGGTTTAGAATTCTTTGAAGCCAGTGCCAAGGACAATATCAATGTCAAGCAGGTCTTTGAGCGCTTGGTGGACATAATCTGCGAGAAGATGAATGAGAGCCTGGATGCAAGCTCTGGCATGAACAGCACCAATCACAAGAACACTGCCCTGAACGAGACCCCGGCTTCGCAGTCCAGCAGTTGTTCATGCTAGACAGGATTTTGCTCACCACTGAGACCTGCAGTGCCTCACTGCCCTACGTAAATAAGGAGGAAGGCTCAGCAGATTGCACATCTCATTTGACTGCTGGTTGGCTCATCTCCCCTGTTTGCCTCTGGCTGTGCCTGTTTGGCCTCTGACAGCATGCACCAGTTGCCTCCCCTCCTTTTCTCCACAGCACGATTGGCCTTTTCTGGCAAAGGAGCATGATTTCTTTTGCACATATGCTCTTCAGTTTATACTCCCAATTACAGTGTGTCTCTGCAACCCAGACAAATAGGCCTTCTCTCTGGCATTGTGCAAAACTTTCTCCCCACCTCTTCTCAAGATTCTAGTGCCAATTATCTGATTTGATTGCTCTCACTTAGTGACTAGAAGTTGAGTAATTTGTCTCACATGTAACCTGCATCTGCATAACCATGTTTTCTCCCCACCTTGCCTCTTCCTGATTTAAATCCTACATCAGTTTAACCACTCCATGCATCTGATTAAGTGAGCTCAGTTCGCAAGTTTATGCCTTTTAATAAAATGTTTTAGTTGGAAAAGGTGCTACCATATTCCTTCTGACTTTCTGCCAAATTCAGCCTTCTGCAATTATCTCTATTTAAAAAATAAATCCTATGGCAGCTTGATGTTGGATATCCTCATTCAGCCAGCCCTTAAGAACTGAATGTAGGTGAGAGAAATATACGTAGAGAATTTTGAGTGTAGACTGTTCTATTCAGGACTGTTAACCATAAGATGATGCTCAATTAGAAAGCATCCACTCATCCAATCTCTTGGGTATATAGGAATACCAAAAGCAAGGGAGGGAGCAACCTTTTATGGCCTGGGAGACACACTTGCCATATCTGCCTTGTCTGGCATCTGCAGAGTATGTGGCTAGTGAGGCTATCATTGGGTAAGGAAGGGCTGAAATTTAACTCCACCAGTGGGGAATGCTTGGAGCAGTGAAGCTTTTAAGGGGCACTGGCCTGCTTTAAGGTTCAGCAACTCTTGAGGTTAATCCCTTAAAGTGCCTCCCAATTTAAAAAGTGCCTAAACATTTTGGCTCTGGAGGCTGTAAATGAGGTGCTAGAGGCCCATGTGCCACCTTTGGATTGCCCATCCCCCTCAAGCATCCATTGCTAATTACAAAGATGCCAAAATGTGTGTTGTGATGTCATGACCCAAGCTCTGCCCTTTTGTATATCTGTTGCAATGTGGCACAACATATGTAAGGGGTGGAGTTTACATCACTACATATTGGTCCATTTTTTGGTCTTTCCCTTCCTACAGATGAGCCTTGTGTTTTTCTCTTGCCTCAAATTGAAGAAGAGGCATCTTGAACTCCTGATGTTGACCCAGATCAAGAAGACCCTTAACAAAGTGTCTCAAAAGCATCAGGAGAATTGACATTTGCAACTTCCTGAATGGTGTAAGACAGCACTGGCTGTGAAGCTTAACCTGTACATTCAGCCTGTAACTTAGTTCACACTCCGACTTTGAGGCTCAGCTTTCCCTCCAATCAGGCTGGCTGACATCATCAGAGCTTCCTTACCTACAGTCAAGCATCTTTATATTGTATTCCTGTGGAACGTTCAGCAGATAGTTTATTGAGGAGAGAGAACAGAATGCATGGTTGTCACAATTGCCATGCAGCAGTTGGACTAGGATCTTTTCCAGTTCTCTGGCTCTAGTTTCAGATCTTCAGATTTGGTGGTCGAGGGAAGGGAGGGGAGAATTGCTGTTATGTAAACTCAACTGAAGTGAAATAGGACCACTCTCCGGACTTTCATACATATGGAGCTGCCATTTCTAAGATGGGTGGTGACATGGGAAATGATGGCATTGTCCACACCTCCTCAGATGTATTTTGTTTCAAACATATCCACCTTGTCTTGGTGCCCCAGCCAATGATAGTAAGAAACTGAAGGGCTGATGGGGAGGAGGTATTTTCAGAGTATAAATGGCTTATCTGTGGCATATTATGATAGGCAAACTTCCTCCAGCTACAGAATGGATTATCTTGAAACGTCCAGAATTGAGAAATAGGTTGGTTTATCTTAGACCACCTGAATTTGGACTGCACTCCCCCCATCTTCTGAGAGAGAACCTTTTGTCCTATCACATATTCTGCAGAAGCAGTTTTCAGCTGCCATTTTCCAAATTTCTTTTCTATCCATTATTTTGCATCTCTGGCTTCAGATGTTGCTCTAAGAATGATATGTAGGAGGAAGTAAAATAAAGATTAATCTTTAACCACCATCCCCAACTTTTTTTCTTGCTGCAAGAGAGTAGCATAGCTACCTTATGAAGAATATAAAAATATAATCTTATAATGCAATCTTCCCAAGAGTTAATATAATGTATAAATGATTAACTTAAAGCTAGCCACAATTGTTTTAGGGTGATCAGGATTAAGACACAAGAAACATTAAAACACATACTTACGTTGTCCTGTGGCACACTAGATACATTTGCAGATGCATTTCTGTTTCCAAGAACTGACTTGGATGTCCATCCATCCATCCATCCATCCATCCATCCATCCATCCATCCATCCATAGTTTGAAATAGCTCAGGAGTCATCCTAGTAATGAGCTGATGACATTTTGAAGAGCTAGTCCAAGTTTTTTCAAATTATCCTTCCCAAAGTTCTATGGGTCTGGATTTGAACAAGGGCTTCTATTGTGCAATTAAATCTCATTCCAGAGTCTACCCATTTAGGGCAAAAGGATATGGTATTACGTGTCAGTGGAAGGGGCAACGAAAGTTTCATCCTCTGTATATAGGAAGATAAAGGCCCAGGATGATCTAAAAGGAGGTGCGCTGACTATATGTAGCAAGGATGGAGAAGAGATTTTAAAACAAGCAGATCAAAGGGCTGGTTTAAGTTCAATAAAAAGGAGAGCAACATAGAAGGCAACCTTTTGCTCTTATGTTTTCAAAGAACTCCATCACAAGAAATGTAAACTCATTTGACGTATGCTGAGTGTTGTTTAATTTCAAATTTGCAGAGTTTTGTATCAGTGCTTTTGTATCAACTGAAAAAATTTGGAATGCCCTACAGTATTATAAGTATAAATAAATACTCTGAAATAAGATACATTTTCTAATAAGGAAGAATGGAAATGTCTAAAGATTTACAAGGGACCTTCTGTATGAGGACAAGTTCTGTTATTAAGTAAATTCAAATGAAGGCTTTGCTTGGCATTCAATAGTGCGTTATTCTGTTTAGCAGTATGTCAAAGATTACTCAAGACTCAAAAGTGAACTCTATTCAGGAAACATTCCTTGCAACTTGAAAATTTTCACTATGCTTCTTTAAGATAAGTTTTCTGATTTACTGTCAACATTTCCATAAAGGTTTATGTGTATTGTCTTGTCTCCTCGGGAGTTCTGTTGTCTTCTTTACCACTAACACACTGTTGTTTGTGATGACAGTTGTATTGCTGATCATATAATGCAAGACGCAACCTAGATTTGCCAAGAAGTCAAAAGTCTCATAGCTGAATTCTTCTCTCCCTCCTCCAAATCATTTGTTATCTATTCTGTAGTGAGCACAAAGGGAGTTCTTGTGCCTTGGACTTTCTCTTGTTTATCATCACAATCTCCTTAAGCAAGAGAGAGGAAGCAACTTTGATGGGGTGCTGTGCAGCTTTAATGCACAATATTACACTGAAATGGAACAAAAATGGAGGGATTTTTTAATTAATGAGAAGGGGGTTTTTTTAGACCCCCCCCCAATTGTTTTTCCTGATAAAAAAAACTCTTACTACAAATAAGAATAGTTTGGCAAAGAGCCCCTTATCCTCCTCTTGAAATCACACCATTTGCAAGACTCTCCGATTTCATTTTTTAATAATATTGCATCTGATCATGAACCTTAGGTGTGTTGTAACTGGCATTTAGCTCTTGCTTCCCTGCCCTTTACCTGCACTGAGAAAACAGTTGTATTCGGCGCACAGGGACAGAAGTCCACAATATGGCAACCCTAGGCAATGCCAGCTAACTTTGCTTTTATCCATCACCTCTTTGCTAAAAAACATTACTTTAATCCAGAGCTACCACAAAGGAACCCACAGTTAACAAAACGGAACTCTACCACTATTCTAAAATGTTAGGAAGTGATTGTTAACACCTAGTACCTGACTAGGGAGGAAGGAAGTGTATGAGATGGTGTACAATGTATTTTTAGGGATGGGCTAAAGAAAGGACAAGCTGCTTTTCATCCTGGAAATGTAGCCGGTTAATTTGTAGTAAAGGTTCTTAAAGGATAGAAATGTGATAAGCATTCTTGAACTTTTGCTCTGAAGGTAGCTTTTTTGTATTTATTTGTAGACAATTGGAGATTTTCCAGTGAAATTTTGCTATCAAGATTTTTTTATTGGCATACAAAAAAGTTGCAGAGCATTCAGAATGCAAATAACTGAACAAAAACTAGTTATTCAAATTTTTTTTTTGCCCTTCCCCCCAGCCTCAGGTGTACTATTTATCCAAACTTAAAAATACCTTTATTGTTTGGATCAGGTTTGCCGTGCATAGCAAAGGTTCACTCATACTGCTCCATTTGACACATGATGGCTTTTTAAATATAGATTTTTGTTGTTCCATCAAGGCAACTTTACAAATTTCCCACTAAGTATCAAGATCGCATTCCTTGTGTTTTAGATCTCTGAAAAGCAAAGTGAGTCAGGAGTTTGTTATGGGAGTATGCTGGAGTGCTCACCATGGCAAGGACATAATATAGTGCCAAAAATTGCTTCAGTTTATTGCCAAATTAACAAATTGTCATGCCTGGTCTGCAGATTCAGAGGCTGATTGTCTTGGCTCAAGGATGCTTTATACTTACTGACTGAATCATTGGTAAGCCTCTGCTTGCACGCTGTATTGTGAGATTTTGGTTGATCCTAATAAAGTGAGTGTTGAACTTGGTTTTTGAACTCTTTTCCGTATGCTAAAACAACAACACCAGTTAGGATATACATACAGCACTAGGAATTGGTCCCCAAACCTGATCAGAAGCTAGTAGAGACTAGTGAGAGATGTTCTGATTCACTCTCTGCAGGGTGAAGCACAGGATCACCACTGGCATACAAGGTGCCCTTGTGGAGAATTCCACTTAAACAGCATCCTGCCGAAAAACCCAGTTTTTTTAAAAAAATATTCAAAATATTGTGCCTCCTCCTCTTTCTTGGACAGTCTCTTTCTATATAACCATGCCACATGCCTTTCTAAATGAAGTGGGGGGGGGGGGCTCTAGAAGCCTGAATCATGAAAAGAACATTAACGCAACTGGTGCCTCACCTCATGCAGTGCCTCTGTGTCGCATACAATTTGCATGCCAGGTTGTGGCAGTCCTGGTGAAGTTGTAACCTTATAGATGTTCCTGAACTGCAGCTCACAGAATCCCTCACCACTGGTCATACTAGTTCAGCAAAACCTGAAGACCTTCAAGATCCTGCACTAAGGTTCTGCGCCACAACTTCTAGATTGTCTTAAATGGCTGTGCCACAAAGAATACCTTGTGCCAGTGCGGAGACCACAATCAAAATCCCATTATTTTATATCCACACATTAAAAACTGACTACACTGTCTGCATAGTGACCCACTCAGTTTATGTAGCTTTGTGGGATGCTGCTGGTTTCCAGTTTGTGTGGAGAAATCCTGGGGAAGGAGCTCTGAAGGTTTGAGGGATAGAGAGCTGGACTATTACACAGTAGCAGCCTGGGGACTGTTGCAACTGAGAACGGGCTAGATTTGTGACCCAAAACAACCATTTCCAAGGAGTGGGTTGGTTGGTGGAAGCAAAAATATCTCGGAAGGTTTTGCCTCATTCCTCAGGCAAAAATAGGATGTTGTACTTCTCCAGCTGTTACATGAAGCCCTTCTATCTCCAGAGCCACCCAGTTACAGATGGCCAAAGCTCCTTTATCTGTTGCAGCTTACTAAGCAACAGGCTGTTGCTATTGAAACAGGGTAGGTTATGATTATGATTAAATAACCAATACACCTGCCTTTTAATTATGAATTTTGCAAGAGAGAGCTGCACCTCATAACCCTGTCAGCAACATTTTCCATCTCTGACATGGGGGTGGGAGGGGGACATGGAAGAAAGGAAGCAGAAATATAAGCTAATGGTTTTATTTTGGCTGCTGTCATAAAACAAGGCTGTCCCCTCATGATAACACATTCAGAACCCAATTTTTAAATGCCAGATTTTAAGTTCATCTTGGGGACGCAGTGGCGCAGCGGCTTAATGATGCTGAAAGTTGCTGGCCAGAAATGGTCGGCACTTCAGCGGTTCGAGCCCAGCCTTTGCGTAGCAGAGTGAGCTCCTGCTTTCTCCCCCAGTTCCTGTCAACCCAACAGTTTGAAAACTTATGTGAGTAGATAAAGGAG